GTTGCGGCCACGGTGTGTGCCGTCCTAGCCGCCCTGGCAGGTGCCTTGGCCCGAAGACCGTTACGAAAATTGGCGGAAGAGGAGGACATGGGGATGGGGGGCGGGCGGGACGGAAGGGGGGGACGGCGGGGGGTGCAAGGATGCTCGGAGGCTCGGCAATATTGGACTTGGACCAACCCTTGCTGGTAGAAGGGGGAGTGGGGAGGGATGGAGGGCGAGAGGGAGCAGGCGTGGCCGTGAATCCCTCCGCACCGCCCAGTGAGAAAGTGTGAACGTCTGAAGGAGGGGGAGGCCAGGAGCGAGGACAGGCAGGCTTGGGGGGAAGGAGCAGGAGGAGGGAGGGACAGAGGGAGGGACAGAGGGAGGGCGGGTGCTTGGTGGGGAGGGAGGCGGCGTGCCTCCTGCGGTGTCGGTGGAGCAGGAGGATGGCGGGTGTACCCCTGTTCAGTCCTTTGGTCTTGACGAGGGGTTGTAAAATTTGGGCGGGAAAAATGCGTGAAAACTTTGGACAAATCGTGAGCCCACGGGCGTTTGGAACTTCCAAGGTGTCTGTTGTTACGCTGTGGGGTATAGTTGGATTGATATGATGCGGGGGAAAATGCCGGAATGGCACGCTTGTCTGCACGGCCCCGGTTTCGGTTTCGACGGCTGTTGCCAGGCATGACACTTCGCCGCGAAGACTTTTAACGAAGTTGTAACGGGTTGTGAAAATTTTACATTTCTGGGAAAGATTTGATACCCCCGTCTTGCCCGTGCGCACATGGCAAGTTAAAATATGTCACCAAAGATGCAAGTCTTCGCATTCACTACATGGTTGACGCGCTCCCGGAGAGGCCGCTCGGTGGTGGTGTCTGGCCTGATCCAGTCAAACACTTTCTAATCCAGTATTTGTTCTTTTGCTTAATGCTTTCCGCCGATCTATTTCCAGTGCTTTTGTCTTCTTCCGCCCTCCCCCATCCTACCGGATTCTCTTCAACACCCTCCCCCGATCCCTTTCCATCAACTCCCCGCGTCGGATGAGTAGGGAGATCGCACGCACCAAGGCTGGGTGACTGTAGCCTTGCCCTGTCCCTTCTTCCTGGATCCGGCTCGTTTTGGTGGTGCTCCCCAAGGGAATCCGCCGCTTGAGGAATTCCTCCGCCCGGGCGACTTGTTCGGGACGTTCGAAGCCCATGGTGCGGGTAGGGTCCCCGTTGTAATCTAGTTGGTGGGGAGGAGAGAGGGGGAAGTGGAGGAAGGGAGGAGAGGAGGGAACAATGAAGGTGGATGGGCGGGTGAAATGAGCCGGTTCATGCCGTATGCAGAGGGACGTCTGAGATTGTGTTTCCACACTGGCCAGAGGCTGGGCCGTGCAGGTGACAAGACAGGCATTAAGGAAGGATGGCGAGGGAGTCAGGGAAAGGTGGGCGGGAATGAGGATGGGAAGGCGGCTCCCTGTTGCTCACCGGCCGCGAGCGCCACGCCGGTGGAGGCCTGAAACAATCGGATCGCCTCTCGGACGTCCTCCTGTGTCACTTCCGCGCGCAGACGCATCTTGGCCAGGGACTCGCTGATTCGCACCAAGGCTTCCAGCTGGCGGACTGTGATGGGAACGGTGGGGCTGTTGCCATCCTGAGGGAGGGGGAGAGGGAGGGAGGGAGGGAGGGAGGGAGGGAGACCCACCAGAGGGTGGGGGGGGCGGAGGGAAGGAGAAGGTCAAGGGAGATGCGCGTCGCGATCCGATGGACAACGGGCTTTCTCCAAAGTGACAGGAGGAAAACAAAGGGGATCGATCCACCTACCTCGGACTCGAGGGTGCGACGGCGCACGGTATCCCGAATGCCCACGTACTCGCTCGCCAGGGTCTGCCCTGCTTCGACGGAAAGGCGGGGGGCACAGCGTTGTCGACAGTAGCTGGGGAAAGAAGGCAAGGAGGGTGGGTGAGGGGCAAAGAAAGGGGTTCAGGGTTCGAGAATAAGGGGCTTGGTGATGGAAGCGGACGAGGGAGCGGGGAGGGCAGAAGGCGGACGGGAAGGGGGCAGAAGGGAGGCACGCACCTGACGAATTTCTTGATGGTGGGCATGTCAATATCCCCCTCCGCCCCCTGCGTGACGCGGATCCCCGCCGGCGCGTTCGCGTTCATGTGGACCCCGAGGACGTGCCGAGCAATGCCCCTGTCCCGTTCTTCGTCCCGAATGTCCCGGACGATGAATATCAGGTCGAAGCGGGAAAGGATGGTGGTCATGAGGTCGATGTTCTCAGCTGCGGATTTCAAGTCGTCGTAGCGCCCGAAGATGGGATTGGCGGCGGCCAGAACGGAGGCACGGGTGTTGAGGACGGTCGTGATGCCCGCCTGAGGGAGGGACGGAAAGAGGGAGGGAGGGAGGGAGGGAGGGAGGGAGGGAAGGGAGGGAGG